TCTTCCAACCCAAGACCTGGTCTCTTATACAAGACATGAAAATATTCACCATTTGTTTGTTTCTTTCACGTTTATTTGCAAAAGGTGAAACTCTTTACAGAACACTTCTGCTGTCCGAATGAACAGAGTACCGCGTGTCTTTTCGTGCACGCGCACTAAGGGGTTGTGGGTTGGCCTCTTTCCGTCCAAAATGCGCATTGGTCCCTTAGGCCCATGGGAATACGCAAACCCACAGCTCTGTAACGTGTGCACAGAAATACTACACGATACCCACTCTCAAAGGGACTTTCCTCACCGGCAGCCCCTGGCTCTGACGGTTGTGCCAGGGGGCGACCTGCACCCTACGACCCCACGGCTCGGCTCGGTTCGATAGACAGTCCTTGACTCGAGTAATTCCCTCAACTCGTCTCGTCCGGAGCTGGTTTTGACTACGACTCAAGAGGAGGGACAGAGTAACGTGAATTATTCACATGCAAATGTAAATGGACTCGTGTTGCGTAGGTTCGAAGAGAAAACCCTTTAGTTGTTTAATTGCTTAAAATTTGAAAGTTATTGCGAGCTCTTTCTATATCACTCTCTTTTCTTTTTCACCATTTTTATTTTTTTTTAAAGAAAAGATAACTTACCTTCTAGCTTAGCGCCCTCTAGGGACAAGTCACTGTGGCTCATGGGGTGTGACTCAATTACTTGTGCTTTGTCTGTGATTATTCAAAGGATTATTCAAAGACAAAAAAGATATGTTTTAACCTTTATTTGGAGAGGCTCTGAACAATGATCGTGATTGGTCCTTAATGAAAAAAGCAAAAATAAAAAAAGCTTCAATCCCGTAGCACTACATGCTATATCAATAGAGTACTCTGCTACATAGTAGAAGTAGGGAAGGGGAATATATAATTGAGTTTGATATTGGTAATGGTACTATACAAGGCAAGAGTAGTACAAGCTATTTTGTATCAAACACAAAAGTTCTCATAAAAACATGGTTCTCAAAATAAAAGCATTATTGAAAACGAAAAAAAGTAAATACTTAAGGAAAATGGGAAAATGTCAATTCATAATTGTTGAATAAATCCCAAGTAAGATAGGTCAGATCTGTTCGGAGTTGGAACATGCCAATAAAGCAAGCCAATATAAAACTCCGGTCAAAGTTCCTCATCTAAAGGAGAAATTAATGGAGATTTCATGGTTTAAAACTAGCAACAATCCCTGCTGGCTAGTCCCAGATCTACAAACACGTTCCAGTACCGCACACCAGATTTCCCCCATCAACATGATTAAAGTTTTCATAATAAAAGCAAACCCATCTATAAAAAGAAAAATGTAAAAAGGAAAGGTAATACACACAATTATGATCAATTAAATAGGCAATCATGCAAAATGTACTATGTGGAAAACATTAACAAAGTATTTTGCTGATGAAGTATTGTAAGGAACTTGGTCGGGAATGTTCAAACATGTAAAAGGCATAAGGCAAATATTTACGGACAGTTGATCTGGTACTGCAGTTATAAAAAGCTATATACACTTGTGAAAATATATAACCTGAAAGTTTCAATTTGATAACTTTACAGTCAGTAGTAGATTCTTTTGGCTCAATCTATTTTACCTCTAGCTTGAACACAAGCATATTGCCACTTACAGAAGATTCACTTACTTTAAAAACTGAGTTAGTATTTTTCTACATTCCTCTAGTTTGCATCTCCTCAACATTATAACAGTTAAACTATAAGTAAACAATAAAATGTAAGCCATCATAATCACGCATTAATTCTTTCAGGCAAATTACCAATAGTCAACATGCGAATTTACATAAACAAAGAACTGGATACAAAAAATAAGGAATGAAAATCAGCAAAGTATGCCATGGCACAGTAGGGTCTAAATAATTTAGAGCACAGTATTTTTTTTTTCTTGATTACCCTGACAGAAGTAATATTAGTAAAGAAGAAATGATACATAGTTTGATACAACATGATTCTTTAAAAGTAAAACTTACAAAGTCGATAGCCTCTTTAGGAGAAAAGTAGAATAGATTTTCAGTTCCAAAAAAATACTGGAACTAAAAGGTAATTTATGGAATACACTAAATCACCTTTCAAAAAGAAAACCCTTGATGACAAACATGCTTTAATCCCCTTCAGTTGAGAACATACCAAAATGAAAGCTGCAGCAGTAAACACACAGTTAGCACAGAAATACATATTAAAAACTTTGCTTCACTCAAATTTCTCAGAACTTCTCCAGAAAAGAATAAAATTGTAACAAGAGAAGATTAATGACACGTCATCCTCCCACAATGTAATTCTTCAAACAGTGCACAGCCCTATATTTCAGTTAAAAGTCTCCTTAACAAGTTTAAAATCATTCAGGGAATAAAGATCACTTAAATACTGACTAAAACATGAATTTGATGATATTACAAAAAATAAATGCATACATACACATGTATACATAGTTATGTATATAAATGATTTGCGTGTGTTGCTACGTAAAATGGCAGTAATTAATTTCTCTTGAGTGCCCGGTGTGACAGACATGGTTAGCAAGAAATATCTCCACTGCACAAAATTGAGCAACAACTGAACACTGTATGCATGACTCAAGAGAATGTTACATCTCTTGGGATCCACAGAGCAAGCCTCAAGAGAATTCCACTTAATCTAAGATACTAGTTTTTCTGTAACACACACCATTACCGTTTTTCCTTTAAAAAACACTCTACTATAACTATACTAACCCATTGACAAAACATTTGCTGCACCTGACATCTCTAAAGCTGTCAATAACTCCTCGCCTTGTAGGAGAGTACCATGGCTGGAAACTGGAGCATTCACCTCATAATCTTGTTGGCTTAGATCAGCAAGTGATGGTATCATACACTCTGGATCCAACAAAGAAAAAGAATTTTTGCGAAGCAGATCTCTACCGACTACTGTCGGTGTGACCAATGGACTTCTAAGTTGCCCAGATTCAGGAGGTTTGCTTGGTTGTAGAACAATTGGGGCATCATCTGGGATTTTGTCACCGGCTAGTTCACGAAGAATAGATGATGCTGATGCTACAAGATTGCCCAAAGCAACAACTGCATCCTTTTTTTGTAGAGGTAGCTTAAATATTCCATCTTGACCCTGAAAAAGTAAAGAATGTAACAATGAAACGAGATTCTTAAAAAAAAGTAGATATTTACTTCATTGATTTCAGTAAAAATTAATGTTTTTATGTGCAGGATATATGTACTGTGTTGCAAGAATAGCAAGCTCATTTTCACAAATACCCCTAACAAGATCTGTTTTTTTAGGTAATTATTTTGGAAAGTAGGCAACGATCTGCATAAATAATTTCAGATCACATTTCTTTTGAAAGTGTTGACAAAATCAATACTTTTGACTTTCAGGTAAATAGGCAACCTATGGTTTTGATTAAACATAATATATTTACGCAGTCTGCATCAAATAATAACAATTTTTTAAAAGCAAAACCTGTTTTAAGAATTTAAAATGTGATGAATTGTAAGGACCAAGTTCTTCATTACACCCATAAATTCTATCCTCAACCCTAAGATCCTATGTATGTCTTATAGAAAAAATGAGGATGTTTTTTCCTCTTCAATTTGAAATATACTTTTGAGGTAAAGTCTTCTGCAAAAGGATGATGTGTCTGAAATATTATTTATTTATTTTTTGCCACATTTGTGTGTTTTGGTTACGAGGAAGGACACCAACAGATCAGAGGAGGAAAATGGAAGAAATTGCTGGCGTAAAAACAATGCAGTACTACAATCTTTATTTTACAACTGACTACAACATTGATTCATTATTCCACGGAACGATAGAAACAATGATTTCAAACAATTGAATGATCTCCTGCACCTTTACTTCCGAAAATAAATAGTGAGGGGGAAAGTGCCCTAATGATGGCTTTGAAAAAAAAAAAAAAAGAAAGGAAAAAAGAAAGAAAAGATAAGAAACAGAAGTATAATGCTAATTGTGTTGAGAGCCCATATAGATGACTAAACAAAAATGGTTTTGAACTATAAGATAAAAAGAGTTCTCAAGGTTACAAT